CTGATAAGAGAGCAAGTCCAATGTTGTAAATTCAACATACTGATATGTATTACCAATGTCAGGGTAGTGTTCCCTTCCTCTCCTGCTCAATTTCAGTTGTTTTCCTGATGTTTTTTTGAGAACTTTGCATCTGTTTATCTACAGCTTCAAACGCGTCATCCAAGTTCACTCTGTTGTATCCATCCACTTGCGAGGGCGCCGTGAATGTAAAACATGAAAAATTGGATTCTGTTCTACTTTAAGAGTACTAAAATGTATATTTTTCATTAGATACAAGTGTAGAGGAGGAATAACCGTGCCTTTTGAAGATCTGGGCACTAGTGGGGAAACTATTTGTACTTGTGTGGCAATGCCTTTGGGAACGTCATCCAGCTGGAACCTGAGCCATCCATCTGAAAAGCTGCTGATTTGAAATACCAAATACATACTATATGATGGAAACCAATTGCAACTGAAGAAATATGGAGTTAGTTCTGTCATTAACTTGATGACACCCTTCAAAGGGCACTTTCATGAATCTCCTCTCAGGAGCTACCTTTGTTGATGTTTGTTTGTTACCCAGAAGGATCAAAGAACAAAAGGTCATCCGGAACATGACTTGTGCATCCATCATCTCCACACCCCTGATTGAGGCGGAAATTTTTTGAAAAAATCGGAAATATATTTCTACATTACTTGGTAGCTTTGGGTAGCTGTAACACAAGTTTTTGATGGAGAAAACTGAGAATCATTACAATTGGAATATTCTGGTGAAATGCAGCTTTTTTAGAAGAATTATGACATGGAAAAACATATGTGGATGCTCTTTGAAAAACATACACAGAATACAAGAAAACATACCAGTCAACAATGCTGATCCAGGATGTACCATTTCTAAGAATTTTCAATCATAAGACATATCTGAGCTATATTTAGATCTGTCCAACCCTAGAAAAAACATATTTGAATGCTCTTTAGGCAAAAAGAAAACATCCACAGAATACAGGAAAACATACCGGTCATCAATGCTGATCCAGGATGAGATTTTTGAATCATCAAACATATCTGAGTTATATTTAGATTTGTAATAAATTACAAACATTCTGGATCTCAAGAAAAAACATATCTGGATGCTAAAACATACAGAAAACATATCAGTGATCCAGAATATCCCATTTCTGAGAATTTTTTATCATGAAACACATGTAAGCTATATTTAGATTTGTAATAAATCACAAACATATCAGACTAAAAATAGATGCTGTAGAACGATATTATAAGCAGAAAACATATTCTGGGGGTATATTTTATTATAGGTGCAAAGGCTTTTTTTCAAATATTCCAATGTTCCACAACCCATGGCATTTTGGCCAAGTGGCCAATTGCACACCCTATGGAAATGAATAAGGTGGAACATTCCAGGTCAATTTGGTCTAAAACTACAGCCTGGGCTGAGATATGGTCTACAATTATGCAGTTAGCTGTAACACTTTCCTGGGATTGGACACAGAGCTTGCAGGATCAGAAAGTGCAGGAAATTTTACCTCAGCCAGAGATCGAACACAAGGGTTCAGGAATTGGGCACACCACACATTATACACAGAAAGCAGCCCATTAGACCATTACACCACATGTCTTTAGAGAACAGTGAGGCAAATTTCACTACATAATATCGGAACACACTTGGGCAGAGTAATATCAAGAAAGAGCCACCCATGCGAATGCACGGGTATCGGCTAGTATATATAAAAGAGGAAATATGATTGGATATGACCAAAGAGTAGGAGGAATCAAGATAAGAATGACAATACAACTAGGGGTCCATGTAATGGGTCTCTGGGGGAGTGGTCACATGACCAATTTCCTAAAATGGTCAAAATCCAAAGTTGTAGCCCTGCTCTGTAGCTTCCAGAATCTGTTTGAATTATGTTCTAAAGTGTACCTGTTGTGGAGATATGAGGCAAAAGATTTTTCTCACCACCAGACCCAAGAACTCACTGGCATTTTTTAAGGCTGTCATTTTCGCCTTCCTTGGTCCTAATACAGGTGAGAAATTGGTGTCTCGTTGACTGTGCAGGCTGATCTTACCTTCTCCTTCCGCGATTAGTCGATGATCCTCTTCTTCCTTCTGCAACCGCGTATTATTTCATTTTTGCTGACGCACTTCCCCATCAATGAGAGTATCATCCTCCATTGTTAGGGTTATTCGAGTGCTGGATGTTGCAGTCGAGGACCTACAGCAGAAGCATGTACAATGGGAGATGGATGGGGGGAGATGGATGGTTGTGTGTTTGTTGGTACTGTTTGTTGGTACTGTATAGTTTGGCAACAACGTCTTTTACTTCTGCGGCTGACTGCCAAACATTCCTTCTACAAGCTGTTAAGTCCGCATTCCCCACTAAAATGTCCTCAGAAACAACTACGTGTCCTGGCTGCGACCACCTTTTTTCACTCCGAGGTTATCAACACCATCTAGCTCTCACAAAAGACCCTCTTTGCCGTGCCATTTTCGACAAACTTAAGAAAGCAAATGATGCTTACGAACTGCTCATGAGTGCTGGAGGGCAATCAAGTTCAGGTGCAGGCCCAGACACAGACGCCATGCCGTTCCAAGGCAACGCTTTTGGAACTGCTGAAGACTATGCATCCGATCTGTTCAGACAGGACAACAGAGTTCAACCTGATGACCTGCCACCTCTGATGGAGGTATCTGACGATGAAGACGACAACAAAGAAGACGATGATGAAGAAGACAACAAAGAAGACTCAGAACTGGCTAACATGGTTGCGGAATTGGAGAAAAGTTGGGAACCACATTGAGAGGGGGCCCCCCATCAGGAAGCGGTGGATGCAGATGACAACAACATTAACCCCAATGATATCCCACCTCTGGTGGACGCATCTGATGATGAAGACGATGAGGATGAGGGGGCTCTTCCAAGTCATCGAGAAGTGGACGACTCGGACATTGACGACAACGAACACCATGCACAACACAAACGCAATGTCGATCGCTTTATTATCAGAGATGGCTATGGAGTAGTGTTGCCGCGGCTCAGCTAGCTGAGAGCTGGCTGATGTAAGCCAGCTAAATT